TAATTGTTTTTTTGCTGTAGAAAGATAGAAAGTATTCAACATTTAAAAATTCAGTACTAATTTTGATTGACACAAATAGCGGCTGCAAAACTTAACGTTTTTTCTTTCTCGCTGTATATCAAGTTGTTGCATTATTACAAAATAAAAACAAGTGAAACTCACTCTCTTAATGCAAACAAATTGGGACGTAACATGTGCCCATCTGTGTAAAAAGCACAATTCAAAAAAGTGTTTTATATCATTCTTATTTTGTGGTGTTTTTGAGGGGGGGGGAATCTCTCCTACAAATCTGTTGATGATAGAAAGCAGCTAATTTTAAGTTTTTGGTCCGAACAGAACAAACAGCTGAACTGTCTTCCTGTTCCTTTACGCCTTAAATTGTCCCAACGATTCAGCTTTGAGACCAAACTACGCACAATAGTGTATGTGACCATAAAAGAAGAATGTATCTGTGGATATGGCCCTTGTTTCTTTAATTCGTTTAATTCTGTGTGACTTAAGTTATACTTGGGACACTGTAAAAACCAGCAGCACATTTCATTTTCAGAATGTTGATGTAAGTTGAATCTAATATTTTACATAAGAATTACATTTTCCAAAATATCAGGTTTTGAATAGAAGGGCCAATCTTTTTTTTCTTCATAATCATAAACAGACCAAATAACATATCTGAGGAGATGAAAGCGAGCGTGCACTTTATATATTTAATGCAGAAATGTCCATAGCTGCTATTACTGTTTTTTATTACCTTTTCAGGTTCCTGTGGTGCTGTTTTCCATATACACAAACTATTTTTTTTAATTAATTTTATGTCTATTTCTATATGTGTACTTGTATGAATAATGCTGTATCATTAAGACAAATGTTTGATACTTTTGGCATTTGCAACTTTACACAGAAATAACAAGGTGAAAACTTTGTTGTTTGTCAAAATATATATACATACAAATGTATATGTTGCATAAATTAAACATTATCAACACTTCTTGCCCTCCAGGGGTGCGTTCCCCTACGCAGCTGATCCGCACTTTTCTTGACCTCCGCAGATAATTCATTTCCCCTTTATCCCCGTCTTCCTTCACCATTCACCCCCCCCACACACACACTCCTCCTCTCCCTCACCACACACCCCTCCCTCGTGGAGCTGTCACCTTTCTGCACCCGCTCAGTCCCTATTAAGGCCGACAGCCCATCTGCCGCCTGCCCCGCTAACAGCTCCCGTCGCTAACGCTAACGCGCACACACATCCACATCCACTCAGACACACAAAGGGCTGCGTCGTACCCCACCTGCCCTGATGCACATGCAGACACGCGCAAGGAATCATAGTCACACACATTTGTATATAAACATATTCATGCGTTTAGTATTTGTGATTATTTAATGATCATTTGAATGTCTCCTTGGTATAGACACAAATGTCTCATTTATTTATGAGACATTTTACAAATATGTAATTATTATATCACATACATTTATTTTAACAATTACCTGACATAGTAATCTAGGGTAACTATCATAGTATATACTGTGTGTAGTCACCTTTTACCCAAAGGAGCCTAGTAATTAAAAAGCACAGTTTTATTGTTAACACACAAGAAAGTGAACATTTATTAGTGTTCACATGTGTGTATGTCTCCTATGCAGCTGTCATTGTTTATAAAACTATACGCTTATGCATGTTTATGGATATTTATTGCATATGTGACTGGAAGACATCACACTGCCCTGACTAGAGGGGTAATTAGGTAGGGCAGTTACAGCCCCGTGTGTGTATTTGTGTGTGTGTGTGTGTGTGTGTGTGTGTGTGTGTGTGTGTGTGTGTGTGTGTGTGTGTGTGTGTGTTGTGGCATTTGCTCCCTTCAGGGATAGGTGCGTTTTGCATTAGCAAGAATGGCAACTGTCTCATCAATCACTGCATCACCATGTCACACACACACATGCAGACCCACACACACACATACACACACACATACTGTGTCATGGTCATTCTGTTCACAGATGGGCCAGCAACACATGAGTGAGTCACTGAGCATCAGAAAGACACTCACGATCTCCCTACTTTCACACACACACACACACACACACACACAAAAAAAATCCCTGTGTGTGTTTATGTGTGTGTGCTGGTGCCACTTACATGTACTGACAGGAGCGTGAAATAGGTTAGGTAGAATCACATAGGTTAATACTGTTCCCCTTTATTCTCTCCTTTCACTCCTTTTACTACACATATATAAATATTTATGACCTGAGCTATTTATTCTGTTTATGTGTAAGTACTTTAATGGTTTTGAATGCTTAAAATGAAAGGTTCCTTGAAATAATCTGAATGTGTTGCATAAATACGTATTTAGTACTGGACCAATACCATGTGTGTATTGTACTTTTTCTCTAGTTAGATTTCCCTGTATTGAATAGAATAACAAGCCACTGTGAAGGCCTGATTTAAATGATAGTATGTTGATTTTAAGATGCCTTTTAGCCTAAATGTAATCTTCTGGAATGAATAAAGACATGAAAAAAGATCCGATTACCTTGCCATAAGGTATAAAGTAATAAAACAGAATCTCTCTTGGTAATCTGTAACAGTTTTAGTGGGCACTGGAGGTGATTTCTACAAAATAAAAAAGCTTTTTGTTGTTCAACTAAAGTATTTATGTCCGAACACGGTAAACTCAGGTTTTCTGTCTGAAAATTGCATCTCATCGTTAATGGTAATGAGGATGTAAAACTAAATAATGACGTACTTCACCCTTCAAATGTCAGCTTGTGCCTGTGGAAAGATATATAATTCATTTAACAGCTTGTAACTGACTGAAAAGCCAAGAATGGGGATTTGAACTAACAACATTACGTGTACATGGCACTGGATGTCCCTTAGTCCGGTGTGACACCAGGACTCTCCCCAATAAAAAAAGCTGTATTAAGTGTTGCCTGTCTATATAGCATTGTGACACCGCAACCAAAGCCAATAAGTGTTTGAAGCAGCAGCAGCAGCAGCAAGATATCGATTCCTCCTATTCACCAGAGTGGAACTAAAACCTACATATTACACACCCTGGCCCTCCACCTCTCACTGAGCCAACCCAGCTCTGTGGATGGAGGCAGGGATGGCTGTCAGACGAGAGATTGGTCTGTCTACCTGTCTGTCTATGTGGCCTTCACCTAAACAGGAACCCACAGTGGGACAACATCACACACACACATACACACAAATGTCCTGTGCGGTGTGTATTTGTGTGGTAAACATGTGTCTATCAGTTTGTGACACATACCAACATCCTACTCTGTTTTCTGATACACTACGTCTGAGACAACACACACACAGGAATGTGGTAATGACAGGAAAGAAATCCTGCCAGACCAAACCAAAAATAACTGAAAAGAAACACAATTATTTTATTTAGTAGATATTTAGTTTCGCTTGATGGCTTAAAGAAAAACCAACGTAATAGTATTACTGTTTTAATTTGTAGACTCAGCGAAGTTTCAGCATTAAAGATAAATAAATAATTTCCCCCTTTTTAGGCCGTTTTTTAGAAAAAGCAAGCATAATTATTTCAACTTATCTGTCATTATGCAAAAAAAAAAAAAAATGCTCAAAATGCAAAGCACAGCGAAGCCTCTAGCATCGCCAGCAGGCATTCTACATTATTTTAGAAGGATGACTTTATTACCAGTTGTGTTCTGACATCTGTTCTCCAGTCTGAATTGGTTTCTGTATTTTCTATATTTTGTCCGCCTGTAATAAAGTGCTTTTCTTCCCAACAGCCCCGCTCTATTCTCCCCTGGTAGTTTTTTTTTTTTAAATGTAGGCCACCCAGCCAATTTTATTACAAACCCTGCCTTTTCTCCTCCTCTTTGACGTCAGCTATAAGTTCTGTCCCTTTCTTTTCTTTCACGGCGTGTTATTTAATTCATTTTTTTAAATGGATGATTCTGATTTTGTTGCCCGCATTGACCTTATCACCCCGGCAAACGGCTCCTCCCCGGACAACCACTGTGCGGGTTTGATTGACAGGTAGCAGTCCCTCCTCCGGTGTTTTTAGTTTTATATTCCCTCGGCCTGAAAGCCTTTTCCAAGGCTAAAACTGGTAAAACTCCTCTGACATTAAACACAGCCGGGGTGTGCTTCAATTAGAAGCCTGACGCATCCACTGAGGCATGCTAGCACAGAAAGATGTATTTGACAGAAATTTGTTAACACATTCCAGGACAAAAGTCTCATGTACAGGTTCCACCCGTCTGCATCCGTCTGTCCGACTGACAGCTGTCTGTCTGTCTGTCTGCCTGTCGGTGCTCTCGGCATGTTGTCCTGTGCGTCAGTCTGTCTTTCTACATGTCTTTAAACCTGACTGTGTTTTTTCTGACTGTCTCCGTACCTACCTGTTTCTGTCCTGTAGTTGCGTACTCAAATAACCGATTGCGTATTTGGTAGCTGTTTGTTACATCTGGATCAAACAGGCCAGCAAAATATGTATGTGTGTGCATTAACTACATTTATAACACATGAGATTGTCTCCTATTAATTTGCCTCACACTACATTTATTGTAGAAATAACCTTGTTTTGTTTTTATTTACCTTTTAGGAAGGGTTTGTTCTTTTTCCTCCTTTTTTGTATCCCTTTTGGTGTCATCACCTGTTGTAAAAAAAATTCTGAATGTAGATCTGAAAAATTGAATAAGATCTTCAGTCCCTTTTTTTGCTTTTTCTTCATTAAATATTTGGTCTACGTTTTTTGAAGTTGTATTACATCTTAAATTCACTGTACAATTGATTTGTGTGTGTTCTTCTAATGTTTACATTTTAAGAACTATTTTCAGTCTTATTTCAATAGATTTTGTATCTTTCACTTGATAGTAAAATAGTTCGATAGTTTATCAAACACCCCCCAACTGCATTAGAAAGGCCATGTGTCAGCTTATATTTTCAACGTTTTTCTGTTGCGCTGGCTGTATTTTCACCCCTACTTCTCTCGCTTTTCCCCTGCCTGCAGAATGAACTTATCGAAGGGGCCATTGGTGAACAGCAGCAGTGAAGATAACTCCAAGTCAACCTATAGTAAATGCGGCGCTGGCGCCTGGAGGATGCACCAGAGCTACGATCCACTAGAGGCCAACCACATGAGAGACGCACATGCCCTCTACAACCCCAGGTAAGACAAAATGACGAGTGTGCCAAAGACACAAAAAGAGGGAGAGAGAAACGTAAAAGAAAAAGAATCTATGAATCTGTTCGGTTTTACACAAAAGCCACACTTGACCTCTATAAACCACAGATGAAAGAGAAAGGAAAGGCAAGCACTTTGAGACATCAAAAGCCAGTGTTTTTAGTGGTCTGTGTGTGTGTGTGTGTGTGTGTGTGTGAGAGAGAGAGAGAGAGAGAGAGAGAGCAGAAGAGATAGTGCTGAGATACGTAACTTTTCTCTATGATCTATTAAAATTTGAGGATTATGTATTTGTGTTTTATTTCTCTATTTCCTTACTCTATGACAGAATGTTCAGACTGAAGTATATTTTATCTTTTCTGCATATACATTATGGTTAGTTTTGTCTTTAAAACAATCTGCTCTGCTAATTTACCATATGCAAGCAGGAGATTAACCTCTTGAAAAATATAGCCATGAAGGGAGGAGGTTCAGCAATCTGTAATGTGCTCAATATTTTTTCTCAGTTTTAAAAATCCCTCACTGTGGGCTGCAAGTGACTGCTAAGATTCCACATTATTAAACACCCTAATCAATTACTTCTGATGATCATTAACACGACAGGTATGGTAAAAGTATTGTCTATGGAGTGGAAAGGACTTCATTTTCTGCCTCTTATTAATTGTTTGTATGTGCACGTGTGTGTGTGTGTGTGTGTGTGTGTGTGTGTGTGTGTGTGTGTGTTTGCTACTAAATGATCCCAACGTGTTTTCTTCTGTGTCCAAAGGTAAATATTATATATTTTAAATAACAATAATTCAACCTTTGTGGCCACTGCCATACATTTTTTTTATCTTTACCTATAGCACTGTCTTTGTTTTGTTATATTTTTACAGTATATATGGGGTACCACGAGAATTCTTACCGCGCGATTCAACTTCCGGCTCAAGGACACTTCAGTAGTGCAAATGCGTCGCAGCACAGAGGCTTTAAATCGTATCATTTGGTTGAAGGACAGTCACATTTACCATAACAGTAATCCCCCATGCCATCTCCATGTGCAATAAAGCATGAAAAGCTTTAACCAAAGTGAAATTTCACTTTAAAGTTCTCCAGTGCAAACCAGTTCTAGGCTGGTGTTGTTTGAAGCAAGTAAAACCGAGGGCTGCCATGGTCCATTTTTAGAACATAAACTGTAAATATGCTGCTTGTTTAATGTTAAAACACAGCAAAGGTGTGACGCATGAAACACAGACACACAGACTCTCTCTTCGTATTCGTCGTCCCTCTCTGCTACTTGTTCTCTCTGTCTTTTAATCATTCTAAATTTCTCTGGAAAAGAGACGGAAGCACATGCCCAGATTGCAAAACTGTAATTGTAAGTATGTGTTTTGTATATAATTAGCATAATGCAGGCTTATTGCACTATTATATGCAAATGAGCATGAGTGTGGGACAAGTGTGCTTACTGCTCTGTGTTTAGATTTTATTTCTCAGCTGAGCTTGTTGTGACCTAGCACTGACAATTATTTGAACTGACTTTATTAGATATCATTATAGCAAAACGTGCTCACATAAGCTTTCCAAAAGCTTTATCTATAGTTCTATACAATGAATATGGAAATATGAATGTGTTTATTAAACGTCATGCTGCACAATCTCACTAACTGGTATGGCAACCTAAATGAACATAGGTATCATGTATTATTATTGTTGTTGTATTATTGCAGCCTATTAGAACACTATTGATTGGTGCGTTGTTAGGCTTTTGCAAAGCCCTTTAATTTTAAGTGTGTGTCAGCATGTGTATGCCCGTGTACACTGTAGACTGGGAAGTCTTAGTCCAATAGGATTTCAGGGTTAGTCTGGGTCAAGCCAATTAGAGGTCTGGCAAGCCATTCTCACGCAGAGTCTCAGCCAATCACCAACAGGAGTGTTCCTAGCACAATATGATTGTGTGTCTGTGTGTGCGTGTGTGTGTGTGTGTGTGTGTTTGTTGGCAGACAGTGAGGTTTGGTGATGAGAGGTGAAAAGGTTTGGCAAGGGCTAGGGAGTCACGCCATGGCTTAAGGTCACACATTACATTCGCACACACAGATAGACACACACACACACAAAATTGGGCAACATTGCTGCCATTGCATTGGTTCAAGTTTTGGACCAAGGTAAAACAATTGATAATATCATTGTGAATTCAACTGCTTCAGATGTGACACAACAATCTTCCCCAGTTGGCAGATAATAACGACAATAACAATACCGCTGAAGTTCCCAACTTATTTATCTCAGTACTTCTATTGAAATACTGCAATACAGGAATATGAATGTTATAAATCAGAGCAAAAAGACCTCCTGGTTTACAGTTTATCACAATGAATATGCCCATAGGTCTTTTTCACAGCATTTTGACTTGTTATAGTAGGAAAACCACAGGTGTTACTAATAACATGAATGATGACTTCGTTCTATTCAAGTGTCCCAATAAGTTATGGCAGTGTGACAGCGAGCCAGGACCCTGAAACTGAAGTAGCTTAATCTTTTTCTAATTTTTATTTTATTATCTGTGCTTTTTTTTTTACTGTTCTACTCTTCAATAATACTTCAATACATAGAACATATTCTTAAAAAAAAAAAAAAAAAAAAACAAAATAGTAAAGATAATGGTAAATACCACTCACTTTACCTCAACTCACCCTCTCACACAAATATGCTTTTTTTTTTTCTCGTACACACATGCAGCATAAGATCACATGAACACTCTCTCCAGGATATCTGACCTCCAACTGTGTTGATGGGATTTACTCACACGATTAACATACACACTCTCACACAGACACACACACACACTAGATGCACCTTTGGGAAAAAACTCCAAGCTCCAATTTCAGTTGTTATTAAACAGGATTTATATACTCGTTGCCAAAATATTAAAACATCTCAAAATGCAAGTAAATTATTATTAATTTGTAGCAATATTTTAATTCTCAGTTGTTACAGCAGAGAATGGCTTTCTCTTCTAAAATCTGTCAAAAATCTTTTTTTTAATATATAAAACTTATCTGAAAAACTTTCATATGCTTTGTTCCACGTTTAGCTGGCATACAAACTTTTTTGAATTCTTTAGAAAATTCGTTTTTGGAGATCTGTAGTTTTCATTGGACAGCAACAATATTATTCCTATTTTTATTTAGGCCATCAAACCATGGGAATGTGATTAATGTCAGGCAGCCATGGTGCGCTTGAATACACACACACACACACACACACACACACACACACACATTGCTGTAAACTGAGCCCAATGTAATCATAATGATAAAGCAGATTGCCTTAACACACAGATGGGCCTCCCAACAGCTCTGTGCGTGTATGTGGGTTTGTGCGTGTGTCTGTGTGTGTGTATAAATGTGGACAACGCTGATTGGATTGCAGATTTATAGAAGAGGATTACTGCTGGAGCAGAGAGAGAGAGAAAAAGAGAGAAAGAGGGTTTCAGACACTCACCTCTCATTAACTTCCACCCCCTTCACCTCAACTCGCCTTATTCTCAGTCATAAACACATACACTATACACGCACATAATGCACAGTTAAGATACTCCATGCAATGTTAAATTGATGCTTATGAATTAATTTCCCCATAAAAATTCTGAAGCAGTATTGAAATACTTGTAATTTGCTATTTTAAAAAAAAAATATGATGAGTTTTTAGGGAAGCGAAGTTTAAAACCTGGTGAAAGGAAAGCAAATTCTGCAATGACAAACAGTTGCAGACTTTATGTCAACAGATTATACTGTAATACAACAAAAATATTTAAAACATTAAAGTTCCAATTTAATTCCAATTTAAAAAGACCAAATTAGATCAATTCTCTGTGACTGTCACAAGTTCATGCACAGTTGCCAGTTTTGGGGGAAGCAATAAAGAGGGGAAAATGAAGAGGAAAATGTTGAGAAAATGTCCAAATACACAAAATTGAATTGAGACAGACTTAAATGTTCACTGTAAGTGAACGGCAGACAATCAAAGAAAGAATATAAAATAGACAGAAAGAAGCAGGCAGGCCAGGAAGAGACAGACAGAAAGAGAGGCAGAGACAGTGGGCACTCCAGCAAACCTGATTATGACTGGATGTGAATTAGATTCCCTAACAGATGGTCCAGGAGTGAGGCTGTAAGGTGCATCAGCCAGCAGTGAGGGGAGGGAGAGGGGGAGGAAGGAGGGCAGGGAGAAAGAGAGGGGAGATCAGGCGAGGAGGCATAGTGGTCGAGTGTCAACAGCAGCTGGTGACAATACAGATCAATTCAGTTCAAAAAAAGTGCAACTGTAAAATGAATTTCCGTAGGGTTGCGACTTGCTTTCAAATTACTATTTAATATATTTGGGTAATGTGGGAGGGAATTTTGTCTTTTAAGTCATAATCTATGACATTCATTTTCTTCTTTCAACCCACAATACCTGTCCCATAATGTAATCATACAGTAAAAGTAATGAAGAGGCTGCTACCACCATCACTATATATCAGTAATAGTCACAGAACGTTAAAAAGAAAAGCAAGCAGTGAACTCTAGGGACGGATTTTCTCAATTTTTACAGATGCTGTGCATTATTGTACATACTCCAGTTTTACTTCTCTCTCTCTCTCTCTCTCTCTCTCTCTCTCTCTCTCTCTCTCTCTCCCTGTGATGGATAGGTGTAAATCATCACAATCCTGTAGTGACAGCCCAATTTCCCCAAATCTGATCTGCTTAAAGAATGCAGGTCTGACGCTGCTCTCCTCTCCTCTCCTTTACTTCACACTCTGTCGTTCTCTCTCCTCTCTTTTGCAGCATTGCGCTCTCTTTTCCCATTCCCTCCTTGCCTCTGTCCCTTTTCCATCCCTCCCCTGTCTCTGCCTCCCTCCCGTGTCACATTTGAAAGCCCTGTCATATTTACTAGAGTGTAAATCCTCTTTCACCATCTGCTTAATAAAATGTGTTTTTAATCCGATGGGGGGATATTTTGTTTTT